TAATCCTGTTGTAGACAAAACAAAGCATTCTATTATCTGCGTATTTTTCAGACTATAAAGCGCACTTAAAATCATTTTCCTTTTTTAAATCCTAATCCTTAATTAAAAGGATAATTAAAATGTAAATTAATTTATCTAATTTGAGAGGTAAAGTACTCCCGTCTCACTTTGTGTGCAATTTCAGAATTTGAGTTTCCACTTCACGCTTGCATAAAGTGCCAACCAATGCAGGACATGTCGTCATCAAGCTGTGAAATCACCAGTCCTGCTCACAGGAACTAGCCCTGTGCCTTTTAGGTCTGCGTGTAGCAGAGTTTAAACTCCATCTTCAGGAGGCGTTCATAGATTTTTACGACTAAGAACTCATTCATTTTGATTTCTGAATACAAAAACGCACCATTAGTAGAATAGTGGAAGTTAATAATTGTTATAGTGACCAAGCTAACTGCTTTTAGCCAGCTGCAAATGTTTTAAGTATTGTTTTTTTTTGTTTTTTTTTAAATGTAGCTGCATGTATATATCATTTAAACAAAACATCAAAAGTATGAATATGTAAATTAACGAGAAAATTGTAGCGTGAATGTCAAGACTGGATGACTTTGCTGCAATTTCTTTGAAAATTCTGGGACTTAAACAATAAAGTCAAGAGGAGGAAAAACTAAAACAATAACAGCCACGGGCCCAGAGTGGGTCAAATACACATTTTGATGTTGTTGGTTTAGGGAGTTGAACCAGAGACCTTCCAATCCTAGGCTCACCTGCTCTAACCTCTGCACCACCACTCCCCCAGCAGAGCACAAACTAAACCGAGCAAAACAGTGCAAAGCTAAAAATGATCACACCGGTAGCTAAAGCTACAAGTAGCAGAACGGTGACAAAAAAAGGCTAAAATCCACAAATCAATAGTAATAAATAAAAAGCTTAAAAAACAGCATTATAGCAGCTAAAACGAACAAACAATAGGTAAAAGCTCAAATAAGCTGAACATTAGCTGAAACATTACAGAGCGGAACTGTTGCTAATAGCATTTTTTTTTTTTATCTAATTTGCTGAAGCAAATGTTAAATAAAATAATACTGTAATTTTGAATGAATTAAAGAGACCTTCATGTATTGTTATGGGTACAATAAAATTAAATGTTTTTGAAAAACAACAGTTATAAAGTTATAACTATTCACCCGCTTCGGATGTTATCAGCCATTAAATGGCCGTTATTAGTTGTTATCTCCATATGTAGCGGTCAAACTGCCCCTCCTGTACCTCCTAGTGGGTTTAAAGATACGTCGTTAGCGTTGATAATAGGCTCTGTTTTTAATAGCTTCACGTGGTTAGGTTCAGAGTAAAGGGTCTGGCGGTTAGGTTGACGGTCTTGGTTAGGTTTAGGCACAAGGGTAAGGGGGTTAAGTTTAGGGTTGGTCCTCTGGGTCAGGTGTAAGCTTACGTTTAGGAAAAGGGTTACATGAGCTCTCCAACTCTCCAACTTCAAGGGGCGATGAGGTTTAAATTTCTGACTCAGATCTTGAAAATTCCAACGTCTGAGCCCAAGTGAATGCACCACAATTTACATTTTGCCTCTCATATCATCAGTTCTCAATCAAAACCTTGGAGTCATCTTTGGAGATGGCATATAAAAAAAACGAAAGACAAAGTTGGGGGTACCATTTCTCGAGAACACACGGCTGTTGTTGACATACTACTACAAAGTGATTGTCATGTCGGGAGCGAATGGCTAAAATAGAAACAAGAACTGCTAACGTCAGCAGGGGTTTCAATTACGAGCACATAAAATTCGATTTTGACCCTCGTCCTGAGACGAGATGTCCCTTTTCTTAATGGTGCATCCTGCAGACTCAGTGATCCTCACCTTTAGAGTAATACACTCCTGACTTTGTGCCTTTGGACTTGGCTCGCCGCCTTCTTTGACAGTAATAAACCACCCCCTACCCCTTTGGTCACGTCTACTGCAATCTTTAAATTGCCTCTTTCAGTGTGTGTCGTCTTTTTCTCTCCTTCTGGCTCAGATATAGTTAAACACCGTCATCAGCTGAAGACAAAGACGAGGCTGCAGGTTCAGAAAAGGCTGAAGAGCTTCAGGAAGCAATCACTGAATATACCGTCACCCGTCTATTCTGGGAAACCCAACGTACGGCTTCACCCTGCACACGCACGCAGCAGCAATCACCATGCAAAGGAGATAAAGGCAAAATCTTTAAAAAGTTCAAACTAATCAGATTGGGGAGGACAATAAGCCTGTAAGTCTGGTGGCTTAGCTGGCCATGTGGTGGTGGGAGGGTGGAGGCGTCTGCTGAAAGATACAAACTGGACTAGATTTACTCCGTTCAGTCCAAGTTGAGGAGTTTTCCATCGCAGCAGCACGAGCCTGATCTTAGAGGCAAATGTAGACCAATGTGTTAGTTTACTAAATAATTAATTAAAATTAAACCGTACGTGGATGAATAATCTCTTCAGGAACATCCAGAGAATAAATGTTGGTGTGTGGATTTTTTTCTTTACTTTGGATTTTGTTGTTATTTATATATATATATATATATATATATATATATATATATATATATATGTATGAACAACATGCATTTATCACTGAAAAATCCATTATTAACAAATGTATGGACACATTTTATTAATTTACTGGAATTGTGTATGGCATGTTCTGAAAATCTATCATGTTGAATAAGTAAAATATTTTGGCTTTAGAAGACACTGGGCATTATTTAGTAAACCCTTTATTTTAATATTAAAATCACCACTTTTTTCCAGCTCCTGGAAGGTGTAAAGACAAAGATGAATTTGAGTGCGAAAAACGATAATATTGTTTGAAATTTGTCAATAATTAGTAATTATTGTCAAATTTAAGAATAAATGTTTATTTGTTTGTGTGCAGTACCTTTTTTGACCACCTGATGGCAGTATAAAACTGTTTGAACCGAAGGATAGATGGTGATCAACATGTCTAAAAAAAAAAAGGGAGGCACCGTGACGTGACATGGGTTGTCTATCCTTCCTTTCTTCGGTTCTCAAAATGACGGACGCTCGGTGTGGTTTGAGCTCTTTAGCATAGCATTTTTCACACAAAGCTTTTAATAAAATATCAGTAAACAAGTTCTCAGCTTCTTTTTGCAGAGAAAAACAACTTTTTACACATAAGCACGGGTTTCAACCGTGAATTTTGGAGCTTCGACAAGACGGAGGTTTTTGCCAAAGTCGGCCTGTTAGCTCATAGCTTAGCTTCTCAGCTTAGCTGCTTTTAATGATCCAAAAACATGATTTTGGATCGTTAAAACGGATTTTAAAGAGAAAAGAGAAAGGGAGGGGATCATTGAAGAGCATTGGAGTTGAGCTTTTTGTCATCCAGTGTCTTCAGTAGAAAGGGAGAGACGAAGAAACAATAAAACCGATAAATGAAAATGAGGTCGATCATTTTCATTTATCATGCGATTAATTGATTTATCATGACAGGCTTGGTAGTAACAGAGCCGTAATGGTCGAATCGTGAAAAGTTAAGCCAGCTTTGCGTCTCAGTAATGTGATGAAGCAATGACATGGTCTGTGTGACACAGGGTTAAACAACAGATTTATTACACAGCAGCTTCGTATCAAGTTTAAAAATAATCTCGCTAAACAGTGTCAATTCATCAAGTTTGGCAGAACGATACGAGAGACATCACATAAACGTGTTCTGGAGTTCTGTGTCACGACTCTTCTGGTTCTGAGATGTTTGACTTTCTCAAAGCTCACGTTGGCGTCATACCACACCGAGCATCTGCCATTTTGAGAACCGAAAAAAAAGAGACAGCCCATGTCATGTCAAGGGGCCTCCCTCCTATTTTTCTTAAAGAGACACGCTGCTCGCGCCCTCACTATCCATCCTTTGGTTCAAACAGTCTTATACTGCCATCCAGTGGTCAAAAAAGGTACTACACTCAAAATAAAATTAACCCACATTTCTTCTTAAATTTGACAATAATTACTAACTATTGTCAAATATCAAACAATATTATCGTTTATCGCAATAATTTCTGAGACAATTAATCGCCCAGCAAAATTTGTTATCGTAGCAGGCTACGACCAGTTGTGATCACATACAGGGTTTATTTGTTCTGATTAACAATGTCTTCATTTATTATCTTTAAAACAAACTCAATTAAAAGCCAGCCATTCGTTGAAGGACTACCGTATTTTTTGGACTATAAGGCGCACCGGGTTATAAGGCGCATGAAGCGAAACAAAATAGTCAGATAAGTCAAACTTTATTCAACTCAATTCACAATAACTCTCAACGTTGTAACTGTTTCGAGGTCAGTAAGCACAACCATAATTAATACACGAGGCTCACTGTCGATTTTTGAGAAAATTAAAGTGCGCCTTATAGTCCGAAACATATGGTAGTCCTTCAACGAATGGCTGGCCTTTAATTGAGTTTGTTTTAAAGATAATAAAAGAAGACATTGTTAATCAGAGCAAATAAACCCTGTATGTGATCACAACTGGTCATAGCAGCTGCTCATTGATAATAAATGCGTTCCCTCAGTTGTGTTTTAGCTCATGTTCTCCCACCAATCTGCTGCAAAGCAACAACAGCTGAAATGAGTTGCCCCTGCTTTCATCAGACGTGCTTCAGGGACTTTTTCCCTCCCTGCTGCAACACTGTGACTCAACTCAAGGAAGTTTTGATTAAAACCACTGTTGGGTGAGTCCTATAAAATAAATTCACACGCACTGGAGATGTGCACGTCCTGCAAGCTCATGTTCTGCAGTACACAAACTGAACCCATTCCAATGTGAAATATTTACTAAAAAATTAAGACATTTGCTAAACTTTGGGGCATATTGTTCAAAAATCAGGATGAGGACAACATATACAAAAAAAAAGTCAAAGTTATGCAACAGCTGATTTATAATAATTAGCTCCATATTTTATAGTAAATCAGTGATATAAGTGGTGCGTTCACTGCCCTCAGCTCTGTGTGGAAATCACATACCTCTTATTTTCCTTTAATCCTCTGCGTCTATAACAACTCTCCTGATGTGCCGCCTCCTTGGATGAAATCCGGTTCTTCCCGCGTTGACAGTAGAAGAACCAGCTCCGGTTAACGGGCTCCGAGCCGAGCCCGTGGAGGAGTCCGACTCCCAGACTCTGTGAAGCGGCGTGGACGTCAACACGAGTCCGTCCCCTCCTCGGACATCCGACAAACGCGGCTCTGCCCATCAGAGTCGGGAACCCTCACGTGAAGAACTGGGACGCCGCAAGGCATGCCGGACCTGTTAAAGCTGCACTGCGCTCGTGCTGCGTGCACGAGACAGGTGGTTTGAAATCTCAGGGGAAACAGGGACTTCCTCCACGTTTTTAATACAATTTTCATACATACTAAAAATAGTAAGCAGTAAAATAAAAATAAAACTTTTTTAAACTAAGTTAAAAATAAAATAAAAAATAAACTACCGGTAGCTGACTTAACAGAAAGCAAGCATTGAATATTGATGAAAATGTGCTGGTTTCTAATCAAAAACTTCAAGGGCTTGAATGTATCTCGATTTGATTTTGTTTTAGATCACTAATTTCATTTACTTTTTATTTTATATGCATTTTATAGCTGTTTATTGCTGTGTGAACCTTATCTTTCTTGTAAATGAGTCCTCCTGACTCAGTCAGACTAACCTGTATAAATAAAGGTTGAATGAAAAATAATGGTCATTCTTGTTCTGTCAAATAGTTATCAACTGATTTTTTTTTTTTTTTTTTTTTTTTACACCTAATACCATACCACTTTATTTATAGAGCACTTCAACAGGACCAAAGCTGTACACTTAATAAAACAATTATACAATCTTTAAGTATTTTGTGATGCATTAGATATATTCATGCTTTCAGTTTGTTGAAATACTACTGTACTGTGTTTCAGCTGAAGTCACTACATTTCATTGTCAACACAAAAATACCAAAAAGCAAATTTCAAGGTACAATTATACCGTATTTTTCGGACTATAAAGGTACATCGGATTATAAGGCTCACTGTTGATTTTTGAGAAAATTAAAAGAGTTTAAGTGTGCCTTATAGTCTGAAAAATATGATAATAGTCAGTAGAAAAGCAGGTGTAAAGGACCAAAAGACTGACCTTGAATACGGGAAATGGCTATTTTGGTCATGGTGCCTGACATAATGGTATTTCCTCCAGTTATTTGACAGTCAAGAATGGTGTACCACAAGGCTCAGTCTTAGGACAAACCCTCTTTACAATCTTATTTATTCATTCATGACCCAGAGTTCGTGACTATAAGTGAGGGAACGTAAACTGTCCAGTAAAGAGAGCTTCGCCTTGTAGCTCAGCTTCCTCTTCACCACAACGGACTGGCACAGAGTACGCAATACCATGGAAGTTGCACTGATCCACCTGCCAATCTCACAACCCATTCAAAACAAACCCCCAACACTTCAACTCTTCCACTTGAGGAGGCGCCTCGCTCACAACTCAGAGCTATCATCCTTTTCTGACTGAGGACCATGTCCTCATACGTGGAGATGCTGATTCTCATCCCAGCTGCAAACCGCTCCAGTGAGAGCTGGAGACTACGACACGATGACGCCAACAGGACCGCATCATCCGAACCGGATCTCTGGCTGCACCAAGAAATTCTGTCGATGAAAGTTTAAAAGTAAATTTGTGACAACCGACAGCGGAGTTTAACTTTTACCCAGAAGGGATCTGGCAATGTGAACCAACCTTTCAAACTGTTCATATTAGGACTGAGCATTTTTTAAACTAAGGGTACAAACTTGTATTTTAACTTCGACATTTGACTCGTGGACCTATAAATGTATCACTCCCAGCAATAAGACAAGAGCATATACCGATTATTAATCCTAAAATAAAATACTTTTTGTGTACCCTCCTCCCTCAGCTTTGAGTTAGTTCAATCCAACCTCAGCATCAACTAGCTGCTGCTCCTCTATGGTGATGGTATAAAAGTAAATTAAGTCAGATTCTTAAAGCTTTGGAACGATGCTGCTTTATGATTCAGACAGAAGATTGTGATCATGCTCTTCAGGAGCACAAGATACCCACAAGTTTGTAAAAAGTGGTAGCATAAACTCACTGGCAGGTGTTGTAGAGAACTTTTGTACTTTATCTTAAATATAAAAGTCATACGTGCCTGTCTTCACAGTCTGTTTATTACAATAAACAAATTCAAAGACCATTTTTGAAAACATCTAATTTCACCTGTTTCTGTGTTGAGACAACTTAAAGCAGGAAAATACATGAAACAGGATAAGTATATTAAAAAAAAGTAATGAAGAAAAATATTTTACAGTGCTGTCATTTTTGTTCTAAATTAAAATCGTTAATCTCACATTTGAATTTGCATTCCTTGAAAAAATACATTTATCACTTTCTTCCTTCATATAGGTTTAAATTAGCTCTTGGTGCGCCGTGATTGGCCAACTTCTGGAAGCCTGATGGCAGCACTCAACGTTTGTTTGATCCTGCTGAATGCGCTGAAATACTGAAGTTCTGGTCTTGACTGGTGCATAAAAACATCCTTTAAAATCCATTTGAACCCTTAATAATAACTAGAGAAATTGCATTTCCTGCAAAAATGCAGTGTGAATGATTATTGCAGAAGAACTTGCTGAAAAACAGCTTAAATTAGCAACCAAAAATAAATAAACATGCTGAAACGTAGCTGAAAATGTAGAACAAGAGTAAATCAGCAGGAGAAAGCTGAAAGAACACAAAAGTTGAAATGAGTGCAAAAAATGTGGAATTAGCTGAAAAAGCTAATATTAGCATAAAATCAGCTAAATAGTAGCTGAAATAACCGAAGCTAGCAGAAAAAGGCTGAAAGGAGCATAACATGCTGAAATTAGCAGAAATAATTTAATTAGGAAGAAAATAGCAGAAATTACCAAGAAAAACTTGAATTTATTTGAAAAGAGCTGAAATCAGCTAAAACATGCTAAATAAACAGCTGAAAACATAGAATAAGCTTAAATTATTAGAAGAAAGCAAAAAGAACATGTTTGCCCAATTAGGCTGAAAGAAGCAGAGATGAGCACAAAAAAAGTGGAAATTACCTGCACCCCCCCCCCCCCACAAAATTAGCATAAAACCAGCTGAAAAGTAGCTAACAATTGCAGAAAGAAGCTGAAATTAGCAGAAGTGGAGAGAGCACATTTTTGCTGAATTTGGTTGAAAATGTAGAAATGAGTGCAACAAAAAGTGGAATTAGTTGAAAAGCTTAAATTAGCATAAAACAGCTAAATAGTAGCTGAAATAGCAGAAAAAGCTGAAACATTGAGAAATAAGCTGAAAGGAGCATAACAAGCTGAAATTAGCAGAAAGAAGTTAGAAGAAGCACAACAATCTTGTAGTTAGCAGAAAGAGTCTGAAAGGAGCACAAAACAGCTGAAAGTAGTTGAAAAAAATGTTAAAATTTGCAGAAAGATGCTGAAAGAAGCTGAACCAGAACAAAATGTGAAAGGAGCAGTAAAATGTTGTAAACACATCCAAAGATTTGAAGGATGTAAAATGAGCTCAATTCATTTTCTATGAGACAAAGTGGCAGAAAAGGCTAAATACTTCAAAAAGCTAAAGTTGCACCAATACCGAGTCATAGCAGGATTGTCCTGAAAGAGCTGAACATTTTCATACGAGTTGTTGAAATAGCACAAAAACTTTGGAAGAAGAAGAGCTGAAAAACATACAGAAGAAAAGTGGATCACAATAGAGTGAATGCTTCATAAACAGTCACACAATAAGCTTTGGGTTTGACACATGAAGTGGTTGAAACAAGAAAAAACTAAATACAATTCACCCACAAATAATACATTGCAGGACGGAAACCTTTCCCTCCAGGGCATATTTAAGCAATCTGCATTTCTGCTCCTTAAAATTCCAGTCAGAGCTCAGGTCTTCCTGTCTCACCGCATTAATCATGACAGCTGCCTGTTGTGCTGATCAGGCACAATCAAAGATGACCTTCAGCTTCTTCACACTGCCGTTAATTTCCCTGCTGCCAAATCATCCAACAGAAGTTGCACATTGTTGTTTAAGCAAATGTCGATTTAGTCCACTCTTTTTTTACACTCAAACCATTTTACCAAGTCGCAAACGCAATAACTCACGATGCACTTATTTCTCTGAACAGCTTCAATCGTTCATTCGTTCCCGTGCTGTAGACTCGTGAATAAATTAAGTTTTAAACTCTGTAATTAACAAATGGTTCGGCTGTAGAGACGAGCGAGCCTCGAGTGATTGATGTTTTCTTGCAGGAAGTGATGACGGGATTTGGCAGATGCTCTCAGGATCTAAAGCTTTCAAACATTAAACAAAGATCCAGCCGGGCGGGCTGCTGCTGGAGCTCCATTAATCAGAGTTAAAGCATCCACCGTGGTTTGGCACTTTTTTATTTTTTATTTTTTTTAGAAGCATGTTTTATTTCCAACCAAAAGCATAATGACCGGAGCCGATTTACGTTGTATAGTCAATGTTGAGCAGTTTTCAAGTTAAGAAAAAATGAGTTTCCTTTGATTTAATGAAGCTAAAACTCAGTTGAAAAAATATTCAGATTAGCCGAAACTGAAATTAACTACTATAACTCTCAAAATACTCCAGGTTGTACTTTTCTTTTGTTCCTTTCATCACCTTGAGAGGTTTGTAAAGTTTAGGAGTTTCTTCCAGCATCATAGACCACTCCACTCTTGAGCCAGAGTTTACAGCGCAAAAAAATTAACATTTTCTTCTTGTGCTCAAACTATTGAAAAATACATTTTCCAATATTTTTAGCAGAAGAAAATGCAGGAAAATTCATTTTAAGTTCATGTACATATGTTTTAATATAGAGGTTATGAGCTGTTGTGGCAAGTTAGAAATGAGTCTTTTCCCATTAACTCAGTATAACTGGTAAAGCTGAGATGTCCCAGCTTTTCACCAGCCTTGAAGGCAGCATTACCTTTGTGAAGCTGAAAGTCTCAGAAGTCACATTCACAGACAA